GGTTAAGGGTTGAGGGTTTGGGGTTAAGGGTTTAGGGTTTAGGGTTGAGGGTTACATTGGGATGATGGAAACTATAATGGAAACTACTTTAGTATAATCGGGCTAAGAAGGGCAAAAAAGGGGTGATTGGGATAATGGAAAATCCAATGAAAGCTACTATTTAGGGTTTAGGCGTTAGGGATAAGGAGATTTGAAATAGTGGAGGATCAAATTGAAAAGGCGATGAAGAAATGAAGTGGAAACTGCGAATATATGCTGCTTTTCATGCTTTGGAAATTTCCTCGAGGCTACGTTCTTCGGGTTGAGTTCAGGGTCTGGGCCTGTTTGGGATGTTTCTACAACTGCTAGTGGGATTTGTTGGTAAAGCCTAGGAGTGGTGGTGAAGGTTTAAACTGGGCTGCTCACTGTTGGTGTTCTTGGCAGGGGTCCTGCGTTTACTTAGGATCTCTTAGGTGGACCCCCCACCCAGTAATAGTGACTATAGGGAATAATAGGGATCATATTAGGGTCCTCTTATATTCTTATTATACCACTATTACAGGGTGGAGGGTCCTCCTAAAGGATCTCTGCATCCTTTTCTTACACAGCTGGATCTGAAGCAACGCTTGTGAAAGCAGGTTGGCCTAGGCCTCCTGCTTCAGACATCTAAACTCTAAACCCTAAACCCCTAAACCCTAAACCCCTAAACCCTAAATGTACATCTTGCGGCTCAGGTTTTAGAGGCTGAGGGCTCAGGCATTGGAGTTTATCAGTTCTCAGGTGGCTTCAGGTCAGGATTTTCAGCATCGCAGAACGCGGAGCCATGTTTCAACCTTCCGAGCACGTATCGTGGTGGTGTTGTGGGATTGGAGAAAATGTCCTAACCTCGGATGTCCGATTTATGACTGCCCAGATGCTAGAGGGTTGTCTTTGCTGAAAACAAACCCATTTTTAAGTCGTGATTTGTATTTGACAAAGGGATATTCCAGCCCCCGATATAGAGTTAGACTTTGTGCTTTGGTTGTTGTCGAATTTATAGGAAGACCAGATTTTTGCTTGATTCAACGTAATAAGAAAGCTACTCATTTGAGCCTGGCTCAGGGCATGTGGCTCTTGAGACCTCGCTGGCCTCCCCAAAGTCCTCACACGGAGCTTAGGGTATGTTCACGCTTAGGGACAAGAAGGGCCGAGGCCCTTCTCTCAGCTCACACTGCATTTATGCATCTCGAGATATACTTATGGCCTGAAAAGGATCAAGAGACAGTAGGGGCTAATGATGCGTTCGGCTAATTCCTGGGTAGGCCCCTGGGATATTTGATATTTTCCCTAATGGCTTTAATAGGGGACCATATATACTAACATTTTTCAAAGGGCTTTAGGGGCCAACCCAGTATAGCTTCAGCAGTGCAGGTTTGCTGTTCAGGGACTTGGGCCCAAATCCTCGCATTCGTGAATCGGACAAGGAAGAGAGAGATGGAGATTGCAAACAAGCCGCAGGGTAGAGTTGCAGCTCATTTCAGGCTCAAGTTTGTGGAATCAAGAATCATGCTTGAATACGGAAGACCAGAACATCCTCCTACCTGAAAGGATCACCATCAAGCCATGTCCAAGCTCCCCAAACCACAATCCGTAATCCCAATACACCTGGGACCCCAAAACCTAGACTTCAATCATGAAATAATTCTCTCCGTGCACAAAACCCTTAACCCTCCATGCCCCACATATCACCCAAGTAAAAGGTATTCACTACATGGTTCATGTTGACACACTGTTGAACATCATGTACATTTGTGCGGTCGCGAGCTTTGTCCATTCGAGCGATCTCTAGCTTGTTGGGGTCTCTGTAAGCTCAGGTACATCTTTAATTAGTAAGCTCAGGGATACCCATGTTGCAGTAGAAGGCTCCTCCTCTGAAGATGATTGTCCAGCTGACCTGGGGCGCGCAAAAAATACAAGGTAGTAGAGGCAGTGTGACCCCAGCAAGTGACGCAGCG